AATGACAGAGCTGTTGGGCGTGGCTAGGTGGTCATGTGACTGGATGGGCATGGCCAATTTGATGTCACTCACATTAAGGGGTGCCTCACCAGCGTCTACTCGCCCCTCCCCTCCCAGCCACTCCTCGCCTACCCACCCCAGCTCCTTAGGCCCCCAACAGGAAGCAGTTGTTGGAGCTAAGCAGCCACCATGAGAAAGAGTTGGCAAAACAGTTGGCTCAGTTCAAATTGGATCTGATTGAGGAGGAGGCTCAGCAGAAGCACCTCACTGAGGACTATGAGCATAGGCTTTCCAAGCAGAGGGAGGACCTGCAGGAGTGCAAGACTAGGTACAGCGCCTGGAGGCTCAGCTGAGCTGAGATGGTCAGCCAGTTCCAGGCCATGATGCAGTCCCACTGGAACAAGGCCCTCTGGCTCTTTGCAATCTGCGGCACTTCCCTCCAGCCTTCGCCCAAAGCCCCACATCAGGAGGCTGAAACAGACCCCAAGTTGGAATTTCTGTCCCCTCTGACCAGCACAAAAAAATCTGAAGAGGGAGACTCTCTGCAGCAACACAAATGTTTATTGCACGTATTCAACCCAGGAGCTGTAGTTTGAGGACCCCTGATTTAGTGCAATATAAAAAATGCAAATAATTTTTCTGTGGACCACCAAAATTTTCTCACGGACCACCAGTGGTCCACAGACCACCAGTTGGTGACCGCTAGACTAGATGACAGTCCCCAGGCCATTTTGTGGTACTTGGGGTCTGGGGCCAAGTGTTCCTTTAATCACTAACTCTCTTTTCTCTCTGCAGTCTCTGTGGATGCAATTTTCCCCTTTATACTGTATTTTTTTGGTCCACTGATGTAGGAAAACTATAAAAATAAGTATTGAAATTCTGATGATTATTCTAATCTTGAATGAGACATCAGTGCAATTTATCTTACTATCCCAGAACAACTGACACCCCCCCATACACACACACACACACACACACACACCAAGGTTTGATGGAGCCCCTCTCCTAATTGATAAGGTATTCTCGGATTAGGAAAAAGAAGTCCCTCCAAATCAGACCTCCCTTCTCAGAGATACCCTCCATTGGCCTTCTTGAGGACCCAAGCTACTACAGCGCCCACCCACCCACCCCCACCCCTGCAGCACTCAGCGGGAGCTGCCCAGTCCGCTGGGCTCAGAAGCAGCTGTTTGGCCCCAGCCAGAACAAAGGGCGAGCCGTGTAGGAGAAAACTAGCAGAAGAAAAGAAAGCCCGCAATGATTCCCCTTCCTTAGGGGTGGAGATGGGGGGGCAAGTCCCAGCACGTTCGGTGGTCCCTCCAGCATCTGCCTTTCTAAGCACAAAGCCGGCCACTTCTTCACCCTCTAGAAACAGAGGCCCGGATCTGGGTGGAGTGGGGCCTGCCAACATCTCCCCCACCTCCCGCGCGGGAAGATTCTAAATGCTCCCGAGATCGCAAAGAGAGATCTGCTTGGAACAGAGAATCTGGGCAGAAAGAGTCACGTTGGGATCTCCGCCTCGCCCCACCCTAGTACGGACACTGATTGTTACAAAATACTGAGTTTCCCTCAGCAACGGCTTTCTTCTTTCCACATCCATGCCCCCACGCACCCACCCATCGGTCACCCAGCTTTTTCCAAGATCTACTGGCAGCAAGGCAGCCCAGGGGAAAAAAAAAAAAAAAAAAGGTCCTATGCATGATCTTAGTCAGATCTTCTCGAAAATAACCACTTTGGGTTTGCCTCCAAGTTAGCCTGAATCTTTTTCCAAGCCCAGAACTTCTGCCGGAGATCTTTAGATCTGAAAGGGAACATTCTCCTGCTGTAAGCCAGATAGCTTTCCAACCTATTCCGACACGATCCCACCGAAACTGAGAGGATTCAGCTCTAAGAAAGTCTCTTTGGAGTTTTACAGAGGCATATAGATCCACCCCCGGAGAGCAGAACTCTTTCCCCCCCCTTCATTTTAATTGTGAAGATGCTTAATTCAAGATGCTTAAGACACAGGACATGTAATCAACTGCGATTTTTTTTACAGGCTCATCTCTTTCTTTCTAACTGAGTCCATTTAAAAAATAAAACCCACAGATGAATACATTCGCCAAGGTTAACCGTACTTTCTAACTAATTTTGATGATTTGGGGGAAGAGGCCATCTTGTTCCCTCAGCTCCCCCCCTCCCCAATTGCCCAAGGGTTTAAATACAAAGCGGGCAAATCAAAAGTATTGCTTAGCATTTGAAATGAATATATAAAATTGTTATATCTGAGTGTTCCTGTTTAGTGACATTAGTGGAAGAAAAATAAACAGGCAATAGAGAAACCATTAAAATGGTTGGTGGTGGAGAGCAAAATTAATAGCATTTTCCATGCTCCTGAGAGTCTATGAAAGGTTCTGTGAGCTATGGATTGTTCTATCAAGAAAACCTGATAGATTTTAAGCATAGCTTAATTTTAAAATGGTAATTTCAACATTTTAATGCTGTTATTTACTTTTTCTAGGAAAATGCTCTTTTCACTTGGAAAAACTCGGCAACTGTCGTCTCTGGGGGTTCTTTTCGAGGAAAAGTGAAGGGAGTTGAGTATAATTCAATGTATTTCCCTGCTATTTGCAGTAAAGTGATTGCTTTTCAGATGATCAGCACGAACAAGACTAACGATCTCGCGATTTCATTTGAAAATCCCGGGCTTGTTTGCATGTCCCAAGCAAGGAGTTTATGGCACCCCAGTCACCCCTTCTTTGGTGATCCTTATTCCCGTCCTTCTCTTTACTGGAATGGCGATTGCTGCATCATCCTGCTTAGCCTGGCTGTTCAGAAGGAACATAGAAAAGAACTGGGACTGCAGCTTTCATCCCCCTCCCCAAATTGTTCCTTCTTCCTGAAATCTTGCTATAAAAATTGTTATTCACTCCCATTGACATAGATTCATAAATCGATCATTCCAAAATACATAATTTAATCTATTCCAGATGATATTTGGTGATCTTTGGAATTGCAATCTGTAAAAATTCGAAAAGCTTTCTGATGGCTTTTCCTTGAAATGGGTTTTATAAAAATACAATCGAGAAATAACAGGAGGACATCAATTAACTAGGTAGCCACAAAGAAGGCTTTAAAAACATCTCTGGAAAATCAGGAGCTTGGAGCCGGCAACTGTATTCATCTGTTTACTCCTCGCCTTTTCCACAACAGGACCAGTCTCCCAGGGTATCGATCCGCCATTGAAATCTCACAATGGTTAGATATTCCGATTGCAACCATAGAAGTACAGATAGGTAGAACTGGGTAAAGCCTTGGAATCGCCTGGGAACCAACCGCCTCCCACAGTCTAAACATCAGCCCTTATCTTCCTTTTATTCAGCCGTTGCTGTGCAGGAAATGTGCCCGAGGATGAGAAGCCAAAACAACAGCAGAGTGCTTCAACTCTGTGATTCCCATCCCCCGCCCTAGGTTTTCTAGTCGCACTTTCTTTTCTTTCTTTCATATAATTTTTTTCAGCTTTATGCATCTTTCTAAAGCAACAGATCTGAGGGCCAGAGAGCAGGAGGAATCTAGACTGCAGCCTCCCCCCGCACCACCACCACACACATAAACACACAAACATAGAGACATCTCTTCTGTCAAGCTATGCTAGGTATCCAATCCCTTGTCTAGGAAGTCCCCTCAAAACTACCAGCCAAACTGGAAAGTCAGCAGCGATGCTGATTTTTAAAGGCATGAGAGCAGCCTGGTTTTCACCCAGGGCCACCAGAAATCACTGTCTTTCTTGTCTTCGCTGATGGAGAGCACAGGGCATTGGTTGTAAAAATTGCACTTTCACAAGTGATTCTTTCAGAATGAGCAAGTTCGTCATTTAATTGCTCCTGAAAATGGGAGGGGAGAGAGAACGGGGAGTAAGGTGGATGTACAGCATTGCAGAGAAGTAATACCTTTTCCCATAATATATAGATACATTACATGGGATAAATACAGGAAAGAATACAGCACCTTGGGATTGTCTTAACTTTTTGGTTCATCTTATCAGATATATAATTCAGTGGATGTTTGAGTGATAAATCATGAAGCTACCTTAAAGATGTCACAACATTCCATTTGTTCTTTGCCTACATTGACATAATAGAACAATCCCAATAAAATGCCATATATTATAGAACCATCAAAGTATAGACTGATGAATTCTATTGTGATGTCCCCTCCCCATTTTATTTTATAGTAACTTTTATTACTGTAGTATTTCTAACCTGAGTTGTAATTTTATGACATTTTTTTTGAATATTATTCCTTTTGCTATAAGAAGAAAATGTAAACTGCTCAGAATCCCCCAGGATTGGTCAGGCAACCCCAGCAATTAAGGAAATAAATAGAATAATAGCCAACTGCATACAAATAAAGATCATTTCAACATTGCTTAACATTATACTATACTTTCCCCATGGGCCAGGTATAATCCAGAAGAAATCTTGCAGAAAATATATAGTATCTAATTCCCCCAAACCTGAAATTTCCAGTAGAAGTTGCATATAAAAATCCCATTGCCGTTTCCCTTTGTAAGAAAATTCCTTCCATCCTAACCAAGGAGTTTAAAGATACAGGGAGAGAGTTTCATTTTGATCAGGATTAAGAGCAAAGTAAAGCAAAGACCTGTCCAGTCAAATGTCCTGCAAGAAGTAAGTCAAAGGGGCATTTCAGGCCAGCCTCTAAATTGGCTTGTCAAGCAACCAGGTTGGAATGAGGAACTCTTTTCTAGATCAGATTCTAATTTAGTTGGTTTCCTCAAGTCTTTGACTGAAAGTGCATTTGTGTAGTTACTAGGCCCCAACTGATTCCCTCCAGAAGATGAAATAGATTCTAGGATGGCTTGCTGTGCTGGTTCATCATATGGATATTAGCTGTCCCCAATATGTGCTGAAGCACAGTTCCCTTTCAGCAGGGCAGTGACAGGGTAGTGCCAGGAGATCACTGATTGGTCTTCCAGGAGGAAAAATAGTCCTGTTTATTCAAAAGGCAGTTAAGGCTTTTATTATGATCTATACTGAGTTCTTATCTGAAAAAAAATACACATATTTTATCCCACAGAGAAAATGAAACACTCATAAGCTGCTTTTCCACCAAGTTCCTCCTAACTCTAACCTTTGGGTCAACACCCATTTCCCTTGGGGATCTTAGTTTTTCTGCTTCAAGAATCCATCATGTTCATATTTCTCAAATGGATATGGTGGGAGTTGCTCAGTCCCAAGTGCCTTCTTGCTCCCTTTGTCAGCTTTACCACACATTTTTTTCCTGAGGAAGAAAAGTTAAAAATGGATATTTATCCTAAAAAGGTCAAGGTGCAGGGTCAAGAAATTAGGACAGGTTGGGTACCATTGGTTACTTGATACTAGGAGTACAAAGCTTTATATATATAAAGTATAAAGATACTAGGAGTATATAGTCAAGTTTTTTCCTGTCCTTTAGTAGAACAATTATGTACAATATCAAAGCTTGTCCTTGTGCTAAAATACATCATAAACTTTTTAAATATATAATCTGAGAATTTCCAAAGTTTGAGCTTTTAATTTTTGTGTGTTTGAACTCTATTTCCAAATTATACAACCTAGCCTGAAGCCATATGAATTCTTTCTTTCTCTTTCTTTCCTTCTTTCCTTCCTTCTTTCTTTCTTTCTTTCTTTCTTTCTTTCTTTCTTTCTTTCTTTCTTTCCCTACTCATTCACTCTCTCACACACATCTACATTTACCTAGAAACAATGCCTGCTGCTTTCACTGGACCTTCTGTCTGAGAAAAAGCTCTTGGGATTAAGGAGTGTAGGAAACATAGGAAAACAGAAGATTCCCGACAATCCAAGGATTTTCCCGATTTTTGTCATTGTGCATGCGAAGTGATCTAGCCTAGGGAGGCAACAGATATACTTCATCTAGTTGCAAAATAAATATATAAATATTTGCCTGATTTATCTTAATCTTGAGCACTTTTGTATCACTTAATCTGTAAAAGTGCAAAAAAGGAATTGCCCCAAACTGGCTCCAGCATTCTGTGAATCTACAGAGCCAGATCAAACCTCTCAGATTTAGAGAGATGCTGCAGCCTTGCATGGATCTTTCTTTGGGATGGAGATTTTAAAAGAGAAGCCCAGTGTCGTTTTCTCCCCGTTTGCTTGGACACAAAGCGGGGGTGGGGGTGGGGGTAGGCAGGACGAAGGAGATCGTTGTTTGAAATGCAAAAGGAAGCAGGGAGAGAAGGGAAATGTGAACTGACCCGAGCGATCGTTTAAATGGGATGGTTTATCTCAGCGTATTTTAGGCTTGCTTCTCAACTAGAGTTTGGGACGTTCTTCAGAATGTATCTATAATGATGAAAATCAAATAGAATTTGATAGAAACATCCCGGTTTTTGCCAGGAGAAAATGGGAAATTAAACCTTAGAAGGAGAGGGGACAGGAAATTGTAAATACTGCGTCTTTCCATGATTTCTGAGGAAAAGGAGTATGTTCACAAAACTCACCCTCGGATCATAAAGTGCTTTAAAGAGAAAGCCCTGTGGAGCTTAGCGCCCCGGCAGCGACTAACTACGATCTAAGAGTAAATAAATAAGGCTAAGTGGTGGCGTGTTAATTATATTACCTTCCGTTTTTTGTTCGGCTTTGTTTTCGTGAAATCTGGGAATGTTTCCTAGGCCTAAAGCTTAGGCTCGGAGGAGAAATGAGAAGCAGCCCGAAGCGAATCTCCTGCGGGGCCTGCATGTTATTGGCATTTCTCGAATCAGAGAACTACGAAAAAAAAAAACCCAAAGAAAGTGCCTATTCGCACTAGTCTCGGCTCTGGTATTTCCATCGCATCAAAAGTGCTGTTTATAATATACAGACACACGAGCGCCGAGAATCTGGTATGTGGTGTCGCCGCTCAGTTGCCGCTGCGCCAAACCAACTGTCCTTTCATTTTCCTTTGAAAACCAGAGAGAGAGTGAAAAGCTCTCGCTTTAGCAGCCTCGCCGGGTCTATCCACGGCCGGATCTCATTGAAACTGCCGCTTTGGCCAGCACTTGCCAGCAACCCGAGTCGAAATCCTACCCTGATGGGATCTTTTCCCCCCCAAGGAAAAAGCCCTTTGAATTTTTAAAAACAAAAATAAACGACACATCGATTATTAAAAAGAGTAATGGAAAAAACTGAATGCTGAATCTATGCAATCACCTTCCCATCTTAATGTTACAATGTGTTTTCCCCCCTCTTTGGAGATTGGGCTCTGTTTTGCAGTCCCCAAAGATGTTTATTAAGAATTGTATTTATCTACTTGATGGACATTAGTTTCATAAATGAAATTGGTACGTTTTCACCCTTTCTCCTCTAATACTTTTCTTTTCTTCTTTAAAAGTAAGTTAATCTTTCTCTTTTAAGAAAAAGAAAACTGAACTTCTGGAAAGGCTGCCACAGGCTGTAATTTTTATTTGTCTACATTTCTAGAGCTTGGGATTTGGAAAACATTTGAAGTGCGAGAGAATCCAAGCAGACTGTGGGATTGCTTTTGCAACCGTCAGCCTCCATTTCTCAAGGACATTTCCTGTATCAACCCACCGGTATTGGCTTCGACATCTCCTCCGCTCCCTTTATCTTATACAATGAGGAGGCGGCCCAGGGAATCTTTACATTTCGAGACAACTTCCCTTAAAGTAAAATGTGTGTGTTAAAGTAAAATGTGTGTGTGTGTGTTGTGATAGCATTTGTCACATAACCTTACTTGGCTCTGCTTTGTGAGCAAATGTGGAAATATGTCTTAGCTTAAAAGAGTTGTTGCCATCTCAAAATGTCTTCTGCTGGAAAGATTACAAGAGCGGATGTTCCTGTATCTTTTCTAGGAAGCCAAATCAAGGAATAGCCACAAAGAGTTGGGGAATTGGAAATAATGTATCTATTATTTAGCACTTACGTATGCATGTATGTATGTACATACATGTGTCAGATTCTAATCCTGTGTATAAGCCTTGGGGCTGGGGTAATGCACCTTTGAGGAGGGAGCCGTGAAGAAAGATCCCTACTACCTCCTTTCGGCCATGACCGATCCCTGCCTCAGCTCTTTAAAACAGGCAGCCATTTACTGCCCCTTATTGCCCCACTGACCAGGTTAGCTCATAAAGCTATTCACACGCCACAAAGGAGATTTTCTCAACAATTAACAAGAAACAACATAATAAAGCCATTGACAAAGGCCTGGCTATTTACTAGAAATTAGGCACTCTTTAAGAGACTAGTGCGTAATTTCACACACTTTACAGCTCCCCAGCGCATATTCCAACGACAGAGTAAACAACCTGGGTGCGGTTTTTGGCCGCCCGCTGTCGCCACCACTGTCCGGGGTGATTTCTTTCCTTACCCAACCTCCATTCCCCCCTCCCAATTCACACGCCCCGTCATCATTAAACTCATTTTAAATAGCGGAATGGCTGAGGAAGGACTATGACCTCTAAACAATAAAAAGACACCAAACTGATCCCTGGCATCTGATGGCCATCCCAGGGCCTTTGCGTTTCTCCCGACGGATCTGATAGGGCTAAAGCCAGCTGGGCGACGGCGTCCTTTGACCTGTGAGCCTGGTTCCCCCACCCCAATCCAGGGATCTAGCCGGACTTGCAGGATTTCGCCCCTGGGGAGAAAGGGTTGAGAGCCAGAAAAGAGGTCCCGGGCCGTTCTGCTCCCAGAGACTGAGGCGAAAGGCTGCCAGAGGGTCGCCCTGCCTCTCCCACAGCTGCCCTTTTTTTCTTTTTCTTTTTTTGGAGTGGCCTCATCGGGACATCCTAGGCAGTTGCGTCCCTCTCGGCTTTCGCCGAAAGACGACCCTGCATTTTGAGACTCCCGGCGCTCTGCGGATGGCCCGGGAAAAGGCACAAGGCCCGGGGAGGCTGGCGAAGGGCAGGTCTTGCGGGGAAGCTGGAAAGCTTGGGGGGCGGCGGCGGCGGCCGCTGAGGAAGGAGACAAAAGGAGAAGAGCTTGCGGGAAGCTGAGGCGAGAGAGCCCGGGCCTAAGCAAGGCGAGGCCTCCAAGGCGGCGCTTAGGCCTTCCCCTCTAGCCTCTGAAAGGCCACCTTGAAGTGGGTCTCTGGACGACTCCTCCAAGAGGCCCTTCCGCTTCGCCTAATGAGCTGGTAACACATTCAGGCCGAGGGAGAAAGAAAAGGGGAAGAGAAAGGCCGGAGACACAAGGAGAGGCCAGCCGGGGCGAAGAAACGGCGCGAGGTCCTTAAAAAAAAAAAAAAAAAAAGCAGGCAAGATGGCGACGCCGCGGCTGTGAAACGGGGAGCCTCTTCTCCTTCGCCCCACCACCTCCACCCTTCCCAACTCCTGAGATGCACGCAGGGGCCTTGCCCCCTAGTGAAGCCGCGGAATGGGGGAGACCCATTTCCTGTTCCTTCCTGACTCGGAAATCGACATGTGGGACTTGTTCCTGAGTCGGCCGTCTCCCCCAATTCGCGGCCAATTCTACCGGCTCTCAACCCTTGCCCTCCCCTGTTTACAAACACAGCTGTTGCCGTAGCTTCGCAATGCACCCTAAAGCCACCAGCAGCGAGAGAAGGTGCAGGAAAAGGAAGGGGGAGGATGGGGAGGTGATCTCGGCATCTGGAAAGGACGGAGCGCCTTGTTTTTGAAACTGTCAATTCTCTCAACCCCTATTGTGAGAGCTTCATGCAAAACATCTCAGCCCTTTTAACGTTGGGCCTTGTGAGGCTGCCTCGGGTTGAAAAGGAAAGGAAGAGGAGAGGAGGGGGAAGAAGCAGGGCAACGCAAATAATTATATCAGAACAGACATGCACAGAAATTACAACGTACCCTGCAATGCGTGTGCATACACACACACACAAACACTTAAGTCGAATGTGAATCTAGGGGAAATGTATTTAGTCAACACAGGAATATATGCAATCTTTGTCAATTAAGAAAGCCAGCTGTTCTGTCCCTTAAATATCCCAACTCCATATGAATGATGGTGGTGGTTGGTTTTTTTTTTTTTGTTTGTTTTTTTTTTTTGTTTTGCATAGCTGATCTATGGAATTTCTAGGAAAATATTTTAACAATGTTTGATGATTATAAAAGCAATTGAATTAGGTAAAATCCTGCCTTTTGTCATGCTGCTATGGGAAGGGGAATACTTCTACAATATCTGAAAGGAATTTTTCTGCCATCCCAAATGGAGATGCAGTTGAATCATAAACTTTTCTTTCTTATCTTTCCCCTCTTTCTTTTTTTAACACAAGTGTCTTAACTGTAAAAAACCACAGTAAGCAAGCACTTCCTGTCTTGTATATGTGTTTCCCAAAGGCCACTTTTGATCTTAACTCATGTGTAAAATGAAAGGAGATATGATTTCAAGTGTCTTCTTACAAAAATCTGAATATTTTGGCAATAATAGCACAATCTGTGTGTGGTAGGTATGAGTATACACCCCTTCTCAATTTTGCTGCTATTGCCAAAATACTAAATTTTTTCTTGAAAGAGGAGACACAGACAAACACACACACACACACACACACACTTGCAAAAATACATGAAGAGGATACATGTCAGACTTTTTTTTCCTTTTTTACTTCCCAGTGGTGTTTCGAATAAACAAGAGACTTATTTTGTTTTTCATTTATTAAAATAATTTTGCCTTTTCAGTTAAAATGATTGAATTTCTAGAGGCTATCTCCTTTTGCAAACCAGGAGTTGATGGCAAATGCCTGAAAATTATTTTCACATCCATCCCCTTTGAATACCAGATGTATAAAGTCCTATTTTTTCTTTGTGTTGAAGAGTGAGTATATCATGTCTCAGTTACCTGGCATGGGAAGAATTTCTCTAGTGTGGGCTTCCAAGGTGACGCTCAGAGTATGTGTTAGACTATTTTTATCAGTTTGGTTTAGCCTCAAGGATTGTGTGTATGTATTCCTGCTTATGAATAAAGGGATGGGGGTTTCTGGTGGGTATGTTGGCATGTGGGAGTATTAAAATAAGAACATTTCACCTACATTCAAGCCTTGTTGAAAAATGAAGAATGTCTTCTGTGAATGCTAAGAAGGTCTCCGTTTCTGGAAAGGACAGGCAGACATTCCTCAGGTCATTAATTTGGGATGCACTCTATAAAATTCTCTGCTCTAAAGCAGACCAACAGAGGACCAGGGGGTTGTTCTGCAGCAGGCAAGGAGTATGTGGCTTTATGTTTTCCTCAGCATTCTTAATAGGACAAGAATATCTTGGACCTACAGGAATTGTTAGAATAGATCTTGAAAACATCCAACTGGACTCAGGACCTCTCTTCTTACATTTATTTATTTTTTAAAAGGTGACTCCTTACATTTATTTGTTTAAATAAAAAAGGCTGACCCTTTTTTTCTCTTAAAACTAGGGCTTTAAAAAAATCCCAAAAATAAGCACAGAAGCAATTTGGCCCTAGACTCCCATCATTCAATATATGATTTAATAGTTGAAGTGATCAGATGGATCAATATCTTTGATCCAAAGCTGTAAAAATCAATTAAAATAACATACAGTGAAGAATTATTTCAGCATTTGGTGTTTTCCTATGTCCTTGTACTTACCAGCCACTGACTTCAGTGGTCAAAAACAATGGAGGAAAAAATGCATAGATATGTAGAAAGCAATAAAGAGGGAAGGAGAGGGGGATAAATGGATGTTTTGCCCACCAGATTGTCAGAAACGTAAAGGGCTTTAGTTACATATGTGAAAGTGACCTCTCTAGAATTTGGAAAGATTCAAGGGTGGGTGGTTTTTGTAGAGATTTTTTTTTTTTTTTTTTTACTGAGCCATCAATCCACTGGAAAAGGCAGCCTGAAAAACTTAGTGTTCTTTACCTTGCAACTTTTCAAAACTATAACTAGCAAATTAACCTTGAAAACCCTAAAGTGAAATTATAACAACAGACCAATTTTAGTTTTATTTTATTTTTTAAAAATTAATCTCACATTTGAAAATTAAGCTAGTTTAATTTGGTATAGTGGTTAAGATGCTGGCCCAGAAACCACAAGTCTGTGAATTTTAAGCCAGCTGGGGTAACTTTGGCCATTCTTTCTCAGCCCAACTCACCTTACAGGGTGATTGTTAAGTAGAAAATAGGAGGAAGGAAGGAGTATTCTCTGTCTTGAATTATTTATAAATAATAAAGGCAGGATAAAAACATTTTAAAAAACCAGTGTGGAATGTTGACATTTGCTTGCTCTTTTTAATGCAGAAACAAAAAAACAAAAAAAACAAAAAACCATCCTTCCATTTGTGAAAGCATTGCCTAGTGGGGAAAGCCTGTGTGAGTTTATCTGGATGAAGGAATGGCAGGTCTTAGGACTGTATGTCTTTTGGCAGGTTTCTCTTCCCAAAGGAGTAAAAGGCCTTTTGCAAATCACTTAGGGGTTGCTGAAAAAGCAAAAGAAGAAAAGGAGGGATGTTCCAAGCCAAAAGACATTCATTCATTCCAGATTGGATGACACACATCTAGATACACATACATCCAGGGTTACATTTCTGCCAGAACAATTTCATTTGCATTCTCATCTCCTCTTTTTGAAAGCATCACATTTTAGCAAAGCAATTAAAACACATAATGCAGCCCTGTAAATTAGAAATATAAGCCGGTAAGAGGGAGCCTGACTATGCAGCAGGTGAAGGTATTTCTAAATATATTTGGCTCTTGCATATAATTTGCAGAAAGAAAAATACTTTATCTTCCTACCTGGGTCTGTATGAGATAGAGAAGAAATTATCTCAGTCTATTTGGAATATATAGAAATAAAAAAGGGAGATATAACCTAGGGGAGAAATGTCAACATTGTAAATAATAATATATGCACCACATCTCCATAAGAAAAGTTGACTCTGATGTCAGGATAAACAAAGGCTTGTTGCTTTTGTTGTTGTTGTTGTGCAATTGAAGATATATTCTCTTGGGACTGCCTCTTAAAGGATATCCTTCAGCATTTTTAATTTAAAAGAAAGATGTGCTCTCAAAATCTGATCAAGGAAAAAGAACTCAGGAAAAAGAACCAGATCCAAAGAACTAATTCAACAGCTTTTAGAGGGATGTAACTAACATTGTAAAAGTTCTTTTCTATTTCACAGTTATAATATTTGAAACATTTTCATCACAGTTTTATAGGAACAACAATTATTCTCTAGAAGTATCTGTCCTTCCAACTAAAGCTTTACATTCTTCCCATGCACCCAATTCATAAAAGAATGAAAACAAGGATAACCCTGCAAGAAATATATGAACATTTTCTTTTTAAAACAGTGTTTTATTTGAAAATAAAGCTAAAGCATGCTTTTTCAAGAGTGCAAATTTCCATCATTTTGATTTACTGTTTCCATTATCACAACATCTAGAAGTCCGCTTGCTTCAATTATGACAAATTTTAAGTGCAAATATAGACAATTGCCTCTGATTGTCATGTGCAGTAAAAAATGGTCTTGTTACAAAGATAGGATGGTTGGGAAAACTGAAATTTCCAGGTATGTAAGAAAACTGTCACATCCTGGTTTCAGACACCTGAGTTTGGGTGATCACAGCAGCTACTGAAAACAAGGAATTTGGGGCTTCTGTTGTTGAATTAAAAATGGAGGAGAGGGTGATTGCATTTTCCTGCAATGGAAATCTGGAAAAAAAAAGTATTATTTTGATTTTTTCAATCTGAGAGAGACACAGTTATGGATACTCCTTCATCTTTCCAATAAAACATAGCTTCAGTCTGCTCCACTGCAATCCTAATTCTTCTAAGACTGCAATCCTTATCAATCATTCAGGGGCTGGTGTGGGGAAGCGGTTTTCTAAATTAAACGTGCACAAGTCTGGTCTGTGATACAGGAGACTGAATGCTGTAACCAAGATAGGATATGTGGACATTCTGAACAATTTATTATGGGAAGGGATAGAATGCTCCTCCCTTACTTTTTTAAAACTGACTTGTCCTGGATCATTTTATTTTTAATTTTAACAAGAATCCAACTAAATTTAACTGCTTCTATTGATTTTCAGCTGTGAAAGAAACAATTGTCCCAGCAATGATCTAGAAACATACACTCTATGCTAAATGTAGGCATGTTAGTTATTTTGATAGAAAGGGGATGAGGTGAGGATTAAGAGGTGGGGGAATACTTAGAAGTTAAGAAGAAGCGCGCACCCCCCTCCCCACAACTAAATGATAAAGTCCCTGTGCAACTTCTTGCTGAAGAAAATTGAATAAAATTGTACAGACTTCCATGTTCCAGATCTAGTGCATTACATATTAATGGCTCATTCAAATAATCTTTCAACTAATAAAATCCCAAACCCCAAGCATTTACTTGTAACAATTGAATTGAGGTACCAGGTGCATTATGAGCAATCTGAGACAGTAAAGTGTTCCAGCTTTGAGAGAGTCCACTGAGGTGTTTGTTTGTTTGTTTTTAATTAACTTGAGACTTTTGTTTGAAGTAGTCTGTGGAATGTTAGATCTCTCTCCCTTCATGCACACTACTACCCTCTTCCCCCACCCCCATGATCTGTTTTAATGGCAAAAAAAGTAATCCAATTTTTGCTGTCTTTCCCCCCCTCCCCCCCTCCTCCCCCCAGTGACTGGGAGGATAAAGTAGAATTCCAAAAATCAAAATGCAAGCAGATGCGATAGAAGAAAAACCAGAATATTGAACTGTAGTGAAAAAAGGTGTTGGGAAAGGGAGAGAATCAAAATGATAATTAATTATAACTATTATTATTAGGATGAATTCAGAAACTCAAGCCATCCTCACATCAACCATAAAAGTAGACTTCCCACCCTAGCTCTTTTTTTAGTTCAGTTTCCTGAACTTGTGGCTGGGTGGAAGAGGTATTGGTGGCCCACCCAGCTGCCATTTCCAGAAAGGATGGGCCTTGGGTGGTAGTTGGGCACTCTTGGTGGTGCTTAAGGTATAGGCTGGCATGAGATCTCCATCTGGGCCAACCATCAAGGAGGGAGGGCAGGGAAAGTTGCCCATGAGACTGAAGGGCCTCTTGAGGGTGGAGGTGACATTGCTGGCCACCCTCTTGCGTCTGTTGAGAACACTTAAATCATCCAAGCCGCCTTCCTGAGCTTCTGGGAGTTTCCCTGGAGGTGGCCGGGGGTTGCGTGCTGATTTCAGATTTGGCTTGAGTGGTGCTGGGCTCGGTATGGTGGCTCGTTTGCCCAGCACCAAGGTGCGGTAGTTCTTCCTCACCCGGGCTCCAAATTTGTAATCCCCATCCTCAGGTTTGGCAGCAGAAGCAGGGCCTAAAGTGCATGCAGCAAGGGTCCGGCTCAGAGACGCTGGACACAGAGTGCTCTTGGGAGGTCTTGGACAGTCCTCTAGGCAGGTAGGGTCTGCCTTAGCTGACAGCAGAAGAGTTCCTGGATGCTGGGTGGGGCTGGGCTGTGGTGATGACTGGCAGTCTGCCTCCATCTTGGTCTCCTGGTCACTCTCTTCCCATTTGAGTGGGATCTGTACTGGGAGAGCTCCATACTCAGCATTAGCACTGCTGTCCTCAACTTTGATCTGGGCAATGGGCACAAAAGAGAGGAGCTGGACATGGCTTTGGAGATCTGGACTTGCAACAGCAGCAGTTCCCTGGCAAGTGGCTGATCTCACATTGAACTGGGCATTTCCCAGAAGCTCCTTGGACAGGTGGGTTAGGGCAGCAGTGGTGCTGTCTGCACCAGTTGGAGAAAGAGGAGAAGAATGAGGGTGAGAGGCAAGGGCAGGCTGGCAGATCTGGCCCTCTCCGAATCTTGCTTGGGGCAAAATGTAGTTTGGCTTTAAGCTAGAAGAGTCACCGCAGGCTAACCAGGGGACCCCAGGCAGGTCAAGAGACTTTACCTCAGGCACGAGTGTGGAGTGGTCCTCGCCAGTCAAGAGGGGTCTTCCCTCGCCGCCACCGGCTCCTTCCGTGGGCTGTTCCAGCAATCCTAAGTAAGCACTGCCGGCAGGATGAGTGGTGCAGTCCAAGCCCGGCTCAGCTTTTGAAAACCAGCCAGCCGGGATCTTCCAGTCCTCAGGTTCTTCCGACGCTTCGCATTTGACGAACTGCGCTGGACCTGGAAGCTCCTCGTGGCCAGCAAAATGAGTTGGATGGGGCACGAGGCCGGCTGAAGTCTGGAGGGTGGGCGATTTGCAGAAGCTAGTGCGCCTGAAGCGGATACTCTGGACCGAGACGTGGCTGGACCCGGAGCTGGAATCAGATTCCGAGCTGGTCTCTTCTTCCTCTTCCTCCTCCTCGTCTTCTTCCTCTTCTTGCTCTTCCTCGTCAGAGCTGAGCTCACTGGACTCAGAGGCGCAGCTGCCTTCCTCCTCTTCTTCCTCAGAAGAACCGGAACTGCTGGTGCTGCTCAGGCTGGAGCAGAAGTCGGAGTCGTTGTCTGCGTGATTCGAATAGGAGCTGGATTCCGAGTCGCTACTGTAAGGATCCGGCAAAGCTGGGGCAGGCTGCGGGGTCAGAAAGCCGCACAGTCCAGGCAGCCTCTCTGCCACGGCGCTCCGAGCTGCTTTGCAAGCTCGGGGCAGGATCAACACACGCCGCCCGCACCCGGCAGAGAAACGTCTCTCGGTGCTCTTTTTCCGCTTCGTTCTGCAGCCCAGACCCAGCGGTTTGCTTCTAGAGACTGCCGCCGCCGCCGCCGCCGCCGCCGCCGCGATCTTAGGCTGAGTGGCAATGGCGGCCGAGGAATGGTAGTAGTAATGAGGATGCTTGGAGCAAAGCAGGCTCTGAAAACAAGCGGGTTCTGTGGCCAGAGAGACGTAGCCGGGGCCAAGCTGGGCCGTTTCATAGTTTACAGCCTCATTGCTAGGCAATCGGCCAAAGTTTGGCAAACTGCGCCCTGCGGATTTGCTCCAAAAATGAGGTAGATCCGAGGCCGGTAGGAAAGCTCCTGCTTGTGCAGCCGCCGCCGCGGCCGCTGCCTTGCGCCAGGCTGCTTTCTTTCTGCTGCTGGCTTGGTTTGTAGTCCCTTCTTTCAAGCTCGGGCAAAGTTTGCCGCCGTCTTTCCAAAAAGCCGGGTAGGGGTCGGGGCACGGGGTCCCCTGGCCAGGCTTTGCGCCTCCCCGTCGCTTGGTTCTCAGCACCCGTTCGGTCTTGCACGAGGTATAAAGCGCCTCTACGTCCTCGCGGGAAATAAGGGTGCATTTGGCGGCGTGGAAAGCTATGGAGTTGATGGACTTGAGCTTCCGCAGTTCCTCCAGGTCGCACTGGTGCTTTTGGACTTTCAGGTGGTCCATGCGCTTATGCACCGTGGTGCGCGGGATGTTCTTCAGAAGATCTGTGAAGACCTGCGAGAGGGGGAACATCTGCTTGCCCCGGATCATCAGGTAGCCCAGGCGTACGCCATCCACCTCTTCGAAACCCGACTTCAAATCTTCCATGGTGCGCCTTAAATTAAGCTTAGCATCTGAGTAGGGGAAGCGGAAAATGGATGGGCGACGGCCCGCCGTGCACCCCACAAGTTGGAACGGCGATCAGCAGCAGGAAGAAAAGGTGCGATGTCGGGCGGGTGTGGCGGCACAGATAGAGAGAGGAAAAAAAGAAATCCACACACGAAAAGGCAGTTTTTAAAAAAAAAATCCTTAGCCAGATGCTGGATTTGGTCTCAAGGCATCCTACTGGATGGAAAAGAACAAAGCGTGTTATTCCTGACCAAACTTCGGAGGACTAAAAAAAATCAGAAGCGCAAGGCAGAAAGGAGGAGAAGTGGAAAGAGCCCTGGAGGGTGGAAATAAAAAAATCATGTCCTGGGGAGTGGGAGGGAATATATCAGTTTGGTGGCCCCGGCCTTTTTCGCGACGTAGCTGAGGAGGCAGGCTCACTACCTGTCCTTGGGCTGGTGGCTCTTCCCCCTGTCCAGCCCAGGATAATGGAATGTAAAGCCAGAGGGCTGCTGAAGGAGGCAGAAGAGCCACGCAGCCGTTCTTCCCGCCGCTGCTTTCGCTCCAAATCAAATGACAGAGTGAAGTGAGCTCGTCCGGAGACACCTTCATCAATTAATTCCCCTAAAGCCAGCGCTGATTGGACACTCCTGACAGGTGATGCAATAAAAATTGATATTCCACCCCCTTCGTGCCCCCCTCCCCAATCTTTGGCTAATTAGCATACTCTTAGACTGCCACCTTCCCTCCCAAAGTAAATAATACTGTTAGTATATAAATCTTTCTATTAAACAATCCAGAGGTTCTCAGCCAGCCCAAAGGCAGCTCGACGGTGCTTGGCTATTAAAGGAACGGGTTGGAATGGGATTACTGACACCGTTTTAGTTCTTTTTTCTTCTTTTTCTTCTTTTTTTCTTCTTCTTCCTCCTCTTCCTCCTCCTCCTCTTCCTCCTTTCTACTCTTTCTCCCTCCTTCCTTCCTCCCTCTTTCTCCTTTTCCTCTTCCTCCTTCCTCCTCCTTCCTTTTCCACCTTTCTCCTCCCCTTTTCCTCCTTCCTCTTTTCTTCCTCCTCTTTCTCCTCTCCTTTTTCTCCTTCTCTTCTTCCTCCTCCTCCTCCTTCCCCTCCTCCTCCTTCCCCTCTTCCTCCATCTCCTTTTCCTCTCCTCTTCCTCTTCTTTTTTTTCTTTTACAAAGCCCCCCCTCCCAAATAAATACCAATCTTAAAGCATCCAGGCATTTAGTATAATTTAAAGAGGGACTGTTTTTCCCACCAAGACACTGCAAGAGTTCTAGGGATGAAAGATGACTGAGGTGTGTGTGTGTGTGTGTGTGTGTGTGTGTGTGTGTGTGTGTGTGTGTGTCCGAACAGCAGAGTAACCATTTTAAGTAATCATTTTAAAGGGGCGTTTATTCTGCCTAAGGAGTCAAAGGAGACTTGCTCGTCTGGCGGGTCCCTCCGCGGGCGTTAAAGTTTTCCCTTTGTTTTAAGAGCTGGGGCGTATTTGTTGTTATTTGGATTTCTCCTTTCTCTCCACCCACCCCCTCCGACTGAGAGAACGAGCATACTCACGTTCACTAGAGGTGCCTCTTCTTTCCTCCTTCTCGCTCCTCTCTATTCCCCCCCCCCCACACACCCCTTTTCGTTCCCCCCCTCCAAGAGCTAAGTTGTTGCTCCCCTCCTAGGATTTCTTTGGGGCAGTGCGCTTCTCTAGAGCTCCAGCTCCGTCATACTGTAACACTTTTCGATGAAATTCTGCCTGTGATATTGGGGGGAGGGGAAGCAGAGGGGGGAAGAGGAAGGGGGGGGAGATCAGGACGTGGGCTCACGTCAGACCCGTAACAAAGCAGAGATAAGCTAGAACTGTATCCACTTTCCACAGTTTGCGGGGCGGCTTCTCAAGGTAGAGGCTTTGAGTTTCCGAGTCAGTGCCAGGATCGCCTGAGCTTTGATTGTTTGGCGGGAGTGAGTGAGTGAGTGAGTGAGTGAGTGAGTGAGTGAGTGAGTGAGTGAGTGTGTGTGTGTGTGTGTGTGTGTAGAGGGGGGAAATGGTAACAGATTCAAGAGAAGTACTTGGAGAAGGAAGATTGTAGTGGGTCAAAAGGATGCTTCTAGTTTACAGCTTCTAGCCCCAATTGCCATTGCAGAACACTTCTACAGGTTCGATTCTGCCTTCCAGTCCCAGCACTGCAATCTCACGATGTGGGGTACAGAACTCCTGCGTGGGACAGTGGATTTGCCAGAGAGCAGACTACAGATTGAAATTGCCTTTCATGTCTCCCCTTGTAGCTCCTATTAGTGACCTCCCAATATTCAATATCTTAGTCTCAGGAAAAACTCACCAAAAACTTGCAGGATTGTTTCAGAGGTGTACATTATTCTCCCCCACACCACCCACCAGCAGCGCCCTTTCACCTTTTCAAGAGTAAGGACTCTTTCAATCATCAAATGCATGAAAAACCAAAGAATAAAATGCATTCAGCCCAAAGGGAACAGCTCCTAGGTGTGGAATCAGGCCAAAGACTGGTCTTCCAATGGAAGTCCAGCCAATGGGCCTCAATCAGAATTCTCCAAAGCTTCTGGAAGATGTTGGATGGAGGCATCCATTGATTTTAAGCTCCCTTCTTGGCCAGATGCACAAATCAGGCCTCCCATAGCTCAGGGCCAGAGTCAAAATGAAATACATCCCTCCTTTGCAGAAAACCCATGGGGGGAGGGGGAGAGAATAAATCTCTCTTCTAATTCATGGTTCTGTTCCTCAGTCCCTCCCCTTGATATAGACCTGCAAGTACAGGAAAAGGGCTTCTTATTATACTGGCACTGCAATAAATAAATACACACAAACCCTATATACACATACACACATCACTGCTTTTCCCCATCTTTTTTTGTAATTAATTTTCATGGCCGTTTTGCATGACTACATCCTTTCACCTCTCTTTCCCCAAATATATGATTCCCCAAGAAGGCTGACTTTGTCTTTCTTTGCATGTGCAAGGAGGCATCTGGAAATTAAGAGGCTCCTTTGAAAACCTAACTAAGCACCCCTAGGTGACTGCTTGCTTTCCTTTGGCTTCTCAAGAGCTGCCTGAATTCCCAGCCTCTTCAGCAGAATCTAAAGGCAAAGGTAAACAATGAATGGGTGTATATTGCACAGCTCAAGTTGAGCTCCCCATCTTGTCTATAGACAGACTCCTCTTCCTCTCACCAAGGAGGCAGCTCCTCAGATTCTGGAGCTGCAAGCCTATTTTTTGAGGATAAACAGCTATTTGGACTGTAAAAAAAAAATAACCGTAGCCGAAGGGAGGGAGATATTTTCTTCATCTTTTTTTCTAGGATAGCAGAAGGCTCATTCTATTCCTCCTTCCTCTATTCCCTTTTGCTTTGAGGTTGATGATTCTGGAATCTTAGTAGATGAAGGTACAAAAGAAAGAAGCTGTGGCCTAAGGCTCAAAGTTCTCTCCTCTCTGGTAGCTGCATATTTGTTTCCTCCATAAAGTTGAGTTCTGAAGCCTTGGTTTGACCTGGTGCAGCTCAATTCCTTTGGGTTGCCATTGAACACAAGCCAAACCAAAATTCCCTTTACAGCTGTGAAGTACTCAAGGATAAATGGGGTGTAGGAATCTCTCTTGTTCTCTCCCCGCATCTCTACCTCCTTCCCCCCCCCTCACACACACACACACACACACACTTTTAAATTTGCCAGATTACTTGCACCCTTTAGAAAAGGTTCAAACTCTCAAAGGGTTTTGTTTGCTATAAGCACTGGCCTTAAAAGCATACCCTCCTGCACGTGCATACAGTTATTAAGAATTGGTATGAATCCAAATTTCTTCCAAAGTACATTCTTATTTATTTTATGTAAGTCATGGTCATAGCAGCTTCTCCTGCCCCCGCCACCGTGTATGTGTGTGTGTGTCTGTGTGAGACAGATAGACAGACACACAGAGAGAAAAACAGAGAAACAGAGAGAGAGATGGGGAAGGGAGGGGATAAACAAATGAAGAAGTAAATAAATACACAAGCGCAACTCAAGTCACAGGATTTAAGAAGATGCCCAGCTCAGCCAGTGGATTGGATTTAAGTCTCTCCCACAAGATTTTTTTAGGTCTTTTGTTTCTTAAAACTTCCTCTTCTTGATTTTTTTTGGGGGGGGAGGGGAGGAAGAAAGCTGCTGGTTTTCATGTGATCATCAAAACAAGATGCCCTCACAGGATCTTTCTGGCAGCATATTTGGAGGCAAGCTGGATTTATAAACAATAGCTCAGAGACCCCCAAGTGAGAAGAAAAAAAGAAAGAAAGAAAGAAAGAAAGAAAGAAAGAAAGAAAGAAAGAAAGAAAGAAAGACAGACAGACAGACAGACAGACTGGGGCTGTCCTAGGGATCATAGATCGCCTGCTGCAATCTGGGAGCCGCACTTAGAATTCACATTATTCGCATGAAAAATCACCTCCTTTCCCCCACTTCCATATTCCCCCCAATATAAGAGACCATGTCCATTTTGTGCATGCATATGAGTGAGCCAATGAAAAATTAAGGTGTTTATTTCCGGTCATTTCCAGAGAGACATTCTTCGAGGAAAAGCAATGCAGGCCCTTCCCTCCTCCCCCTCTGCTGGGTTATGATCTTTCAGCCCAGCTAAAGCAACATGCTTCAATTCTGGCTGTCTCGGGTTCCAGCCTTAAGCAGGCTCCCTCCTGAAGGATCTGCCTTCTAGCCGACTGTGACTGACTTCCAAGTCCAGGAACCTTGCCCTCAGTTCTTCACCTTCCTATCACCGAAGTCCTTGGGAAGACCAGCATACTGGGATTTATTCCTGAATACCCAGTAGTTCTTTGCCTAAATCCTAGTGAAATCTTCTCAAAAGCTGGGCTAGTAACAAGGTTCACTTTAACTCCACTGAATTATGGGCGCTGCTGGGAAAGTACTTAAGGTGCTAAAGGCGTGGAACTGGGCCTCCCGTTTCTTTGTGGAATAACAGGCTTACACTGTGTGGGGATCTATGCAGGAGTAGAAAAGTCCTAACTTTGAAGCATTTTGCAAACTGGGCTACTGTAATGGGGCACTGGCATTTTCAGCTCTTTTGAAAACTTTATTTCAAGAGAACCAGGGACCATCCTCTCAATTCCCACGAAAGGATTTTCTGTTACAAATGAATGAAAAAACAAACACAAAATGGCAGAGGTGAGCTTACCTGAATTGTGAGATGGGAAGACCTGTGATACAAGGTTCCCGACTAGCTTACATATATAGTAAGTAGACAGATGATCAGTCAAATATGCTTCTTACTCATGCAGTAGATTTAATGTTTTTTTTTTTTAAACCTTAGTTCATATGTCATTTTGAAGCACCCTTGGAAGATGATAAAGCTAATTAGAAAATAATAGAGAAAAGTAGTATTCTCTTAATGGTGTAAATAGTATAGAGAAAAATAGTATTATTCTCCTAATGGTGTAAATGAGCACTCCAATAATTCTTGTTTTGATATAAAAATATATTG